CTGGGCTGTAAGCTTCCAATTAACAGTCTTTCCACAAATATCCAGTTTCACGCACCACGCTGGCTATGTGTCATTACACATGCTTAAACCCAGAAAAAATGGCTCTTGATTCTTGGTGGTCACTTCCCATACTGCCTTTGTGAGGCAGAAAGCTGCAAAATGTCCAATTTTTGTGCTACGGCATTTGGCTCCTTTATCTGAGCAATCACCTCTTGGACTGTGATCTCTCCCACATCTTGTGCATCTAATCTGAAAAGTGTTATGTTTTACCTGGGGCTTACCCCGCATTGCCTTTGAGGATTACTGCGATTGCTTTTTGCAGCTGTGCTCTGTCCTATTGTGATTCTGTTTACAAGTCACTTCCTCTAGGTTTCTTTCTGGCAGTCACTGGTCTCTGTTTTGATTTTTAATGATCTCAGATTGTCTTGCCATTTCTATTGCTGTGTGAAGGGTTAAATCTCTCTTCATTTGCAGTTTATCTGCAGTCCCTTGTCTAAAATGCCAATCAGTATTCTGCTCTTCCTTTTTGTCTTCAAAATCACAGTTTTCTGCCCTGTCAGGCAAGTCTCTTATGAAAGATTCCACAGATTGACCAGGAATTTGGACACGCTGGTAGAAAAACGTTTAGTTATAAACCACATTATGCTGAGGTATAAATTACTTATCAAATGTAGCCAGCACCACAGTGTAACTGTTCTCGTGGTTTTCCTCTCCAAAGGCAAAGGACTTAAAGATATATTCAGCTTCCCTACCAATGGCATAGACTAGGGGAGTAACCTGCATCTTCCTGCAATTACTTGTGATGCAAAACCATGGAAACTGCTCTTTCCAAACAAGCCACTCTGATGGCCTGTCGAAACTGAAGCTCTTTGGGGTGTGAAACTTTGGCATTTTGATGAAATTCTGCAGTTTTTATTGTTTTTCTTCTGACACCATGTCAGGTTAATCACACAGACACAAAGGCAAAATGGATGCTAGCAACCACCACAACTTTATTGTAAAAAGAATGTAGACTGTCTCTAGCACTCAGTAAAGGTGTGCTGCAGTATTCTTCATACAGCCAGTGACAAAATATTATACTGCAACCTCCCTTGGTAACCTATGCCAGTACTTAACTATTCTTATAGTTAGAAAATTTCTTCTAATATCTAACCTTAATCTCCCTTGCTGCAGATTAAGATGATTACTTCTTGTTCTGCCTTCAATGGACATGGATCATCATCCTTTTTATAACAGCCCTTACTGTATTCGAACACTGTTATCATATGAATGGTTTTAAAGGTGACCACTGTAGTTCAGTAAACCAGAGCAGCCCCAAATACACAAGAGTGACTATTTGGGATATTTACATGCACCCTAGGTATCAGCACTCTGACTGATTCTCAATATTGACATATTAAACAAATCTTCAATATTGATGGGTGTTGAGGTCAAAGTCGTGACATTTAGACATTATGTTCTCTCTCAAGTGCTGCAGTTTACTTAATTATTGCTTAAGAAAATAGTCACTTTTAAAAATTGCTCTTTTATTTTGATAAAGTATAAGGCCTAATCCTGCAAATACTTACTCAGATATCCATAAGAATAGTTCCATTGATATCAAAGTTACTCACATGCATTAATGTTTACAGGATTTGGCCCATAGTTGGGGAGTCCTCTGACATGGGAAGGATGTGGTACCCCAACCATTGTTTTTGAAATGTACAGCGGTTCTGATTACATTTAGTAAGCCACTCCTACATTGTGAATTGTTTTAATAAATCCTATGGTCCTGAACAATTTAATTGGAGTTCAAGAAAACAATTGTGCACACACGCGCCCACACACACACACAATTACCTTTCTGGGTCTTGAGTGTGTGTAATTGGGAATCTGAAGTCAGGGTGGAGGAGCAGGAAGTATATCTGTGGAAGAGGCTTGGTTTTTTTTTTTTAGTAAATTGGTGGATGTCTGAAGCAGTTCAGTGGCCTGAAATGTTAGAAATAACTTCATTGGAGTGCGATTTGTGGGCAGAATGAAAGGGAGACAGTCAAAGGTGCATTATATTTGAAATGAACCACATGACGATACAATGTCTCATATAGGTCTTCCATTTATTGTACTGATCTCATCACCAGATATATAGTGTATAGACAGACAGACATATATTATATAAACATATTGAACATAAATTTCCATGTCTTATACATGTAAACTATACTGCATATAAAGACATATTTAGTGTTATTATTTAACCATTAGACAGAGCCTAGATGACTGGAGAGTCTATAATATTAGTTGCTTTCACAGTGAATTTAAACATCTCCAGTAATGTTCTTGGGAGGCCTGCAGCTGAAGTAGTTTGCTCAGCTCTTCCAATAGTGCGTATGTAGAAACTTAAAAGGATGTTTTTAAATGTATCATTGTCTGAACATCATGTTAGACTAATGGCTTGTCAGGAGTCTGCTGCAGGCAAGCCTGCAATGACAGTCCAAATTACCATCTTCAGACCATGTTACCCTCAGGCTATTATTGAATCACAATCACTGGTAAGATGGTGGAAAGGTTGTGTCAAAAACAAGGAAAGTTAGAAATATACTTTATGAATCTGTATTTTCAGTCTTCACAAGTCTAAATGTATGTATATTAGCCACAGCTTGATTAGTGAAGCTAAAGTTAAATCTCAAAACGAACCCTTAAACAAGTGTGATCCTTATATATGTTGTGGATTCCTCCTCTCCCTCTCCCCAGAAGACCCATAGAATCATAAAAATGTAGGGCTGTAAAGCACTTTGAAAAGGCATCTAGCCCAGTCCCCTGCCCTGAGGCAGGACCAAGGATACCTAGGCCATCCCTGACAGGTGTTTGTCTAGCCTGTTCTTAAAAACTTCCAATGACTGGGATTCCACAACATTCTTGGAAGCCTATTCCAGCACTTAACACTATCCTTATGTTTAGAAAGCTTTTCCTAATATCTAACCTAAATCTCCTTTGCTGCAGATTAAGCTGATTACTTTTTGTCCTACTTTCAGTGGACATGGAGAATAATTGATTACCATCCTCTTTATAACAACCCTTAATATATTTGAAAACTGTTATCCAATCTCCTCTCTCAATCTTCTTTTCTCAAGACGAAACATGGCCAGTTATTTTAACCTTTCCTCAGAAGTCAGGTTTTCTAAAACTTTTATTATATTTGTTGCTCTCCTCCATACTCTCTCCAATTTGTCCATATCTTTCTTAAAGTGTGGTGCCAAGAACTGGACATAGTACTGCAAGTGAGGCCTCACCAGTGATGAGTAATGGGACAATCACCTTCCTCGTCTCATGTACAATTCTCCAGTTAATACAATCCAGAATTACTTTAGCCTTTTTAGCAACTTCACCATGTTGTTGAACCAATGGAACAGATTGCCTAGGGAGGTTGTGGAAGCCATCTGTCTCGGATAGTTTAGACACAACAAATCCTGCATCTTGGCAGCGGGTTAGACTAGATGATCCTTGCTGTCCCTCCCAACCTATGAGTCTATGATTGTATATTCCATTTCTGATCCACTATACACCACAGATCCTTTTCTGCAGTATTACTGCCTAGCTAGATATTCACCATATTGTAGTTAGGCACCTGATTTTTCATTCCTAAGTGTAGTACTGTGTTCTTGTTGAATTTAGATTGATCCTCTAATTTGTCAGTGTCATTTTGAATTCTAATTTCAGCCTTCAAAGTGCTTTAAACCTCTCCCAGCTTTGTGTTATCTGCAAATTTTATAAGCATACTCTCCTCTCTATTATTGGAGTCATTAATGAAAATATTGAACCAGACTCCTGCAGGACCCCACTAGATATGTCCTCCCAGTCTGACAGTGAATCACTGATAATTACTCTTTGAGTACAATCTTTCAGCCAGTTACAGTAATTTCATTTAGACCATTTTTTTGGTTTGCTTATGAGAGTGTCATGTGGGACTGTGTGAAAACCCTTACTAAAATCAAGATATATCACATTTACAGCTTCCCCTCATCCAGTAGGCCAAAATCATGTCAAATAAGGAAATTAGGTTGGTTTGGTATGATTTGTTCATGACAAATCTATCCTGGTTATTCATTATGTAACCTTACTATTCTTTAGGTGCTTACAAATTGATTGCTTAATAATTTGTTCCAGTATCTTTCCAGATATTGAAGTTAGGCTGTCTAGTCTATAATTCCTGAGATCATCTTCCCCCCATCCTCTTTTAAAGATAGGTACTACATTTGTCCTTCTCCAGTGATCTGGGACCTCAGCCATCCTCTGTGAGTTCTCAAAGATAATCACTAACGGTTCTAAGATTGTTTCAGCTAGTTCCTTAAGCACACTAGGGTGGATTTCATCAGGCCCTGCTGACTTGAATATGTCTAATGCAGGGGTCGGCAACCTTTGGCACGTGGCCCATTAAGTAATCCGCTGGCGGGCCGTGAGATATTTTGTTTACATTGACTGTCTGCAGGCACAGCTCCCAGTGGCTGCGGTTCACCGTTCCTGGCCAACGGGAGCTGCGGGAAGCGGTGCGGGCCGCAGGGACATGCTGGCTGTCACTTCCTGCAGCTCCCATTGGCTGGGAATGGTGAACCGCGGCCACTGGGAGCTGCAGGGGGCCATGCTTGCGGATGGTCAATGTAAACAAAATGTCTCGCGTCCCGCCAGTGGATTACCCTGAATAGCCATGTGCTGAAGGTTGCCGACCCCTGGTCTAATGTATCTAAATATTTTGGCTTGCAGTCTTTCCCCTTTGTTGCTAATATTAATTGTGTTAAATATCTGGTCACAATTTACCTTTTTAGTGAAAACTGATGCAAAATAGTCATTAAACTCCTCAGCCTTCTTGATGTCCATTATTGGCTCTGCTGTCATGCTGAGTAGAAGACCTATGCTTTCCTTTGTCTTTCTCTTGCTCCTAATGTATAATAAGTGTGGTAACAACCAGCATGCTCAAATAAACCTTCTATTTGACTGATGCCTAAAATGACTTTTCTTTTCCTTAGACTTTGAATCTGAGCTGTTCTGTATTTGGAAATCCTGATCCTGAAGTGGTATGGCTTTGGAATGACAAGAAATTTGAACTTAATGAACATTATTTAGTTTCAATGGAGCATGGAAACGTTGCCAGCTTTACAATCAAGGGAGTGTCCTCCGAGGACTCAGGCAAATATAGCATCAATGTCAAGAACAAGTATGGTGGGGAAACAGTGGATGTTACTGTAAGTGTGTACAAACATGGTGAAGAGATGCCTGAAATTAAACCTGCCCAGGTTGCTAAACCACGGATAATACCACCACCAGCACAAGCCACAGCACCTCCAGAAAAAGCAAAAACAACCTCCACAGCTGAGAAATCCAGTAGGAAATAAAGTTTGAAAGCCAAGCATGTTTGACGGACAAAACCATATAGATGAGCTGTAGTTGAAGTGTTGCTGCAAATAGATAACTGGCAGTGTCCAAGGAGATGAGCTTTTAAAGGCATGCATTAGAGAGACAGTTGTGCAACAGTATTGTACATTTGTGCAGTTATATCTTTATGAAAAAATGCAATATGGCACGACTTACAAATAGCAACAGGCCCAATAACTGCCATTGGATTTAATTATCAATGGCAGTTTCTATAAAGTTACAGTGATATAAAAGAATCACTTCCCCAACAACAGAAGTAGCGTGCTGTAGTTAAATATGCATTCAGAGCTGCACCTACTCATTACTCACATGTGGAGACTTTTTGACTTTGAAGGTACTCCTCATCTGAGTAAGGCAAACTGAGATGGCCACTGTAGTCTGTATTTAGTAGCATTGTTATTCTGTACTGAAAACTGATCTTTGGTAGTGTTCTACAGATGATCACAGTGGACTTGTTAAAGCATAAGTTACATGGTTGTATTTTGTTTTTTTCTTGCTTTGTGCTGATAAAACTTAAAAAGTCACCTTGAGCATCTCACTGCACCAAATCACACCTAACTAATTTGGTTTACTCTCTTTCATTGTTTAATTATGGCTTACTGCACAATTTCACAGCTGGCAGCATGCAGACAATGGATTTTCAATAAAGAAAATAAATTATGGTTAATCACAGTCACTGTGTGGCACTTACAACATTACATTTGCTCTTTATGGTATAGGTCAAGATGCAAATTTAAACTGGAAAAACAAGATGTATACAATTCTGCAGCTTTCTAGGGTTATTATGGTCAGATCCTGCTTCTGCTAAAACCAATGGTAAAACTCCATGTCGTCTGGGAGCAGGAGCTGAATATTAGACCATGACTCTGCAGACACTTAAGCATGCACTTACCTTGAAGCTTGTGAGTAGTCCCACTGAATCAATTTCAGTGGGACTACTCATGTGCCCAAAATTAAGTATGCACTTGAATGTTGGCAGGATTGGGGTTCTAGGGCCAGATTATCTACACAATTACAGCCCCGTTGTCTACTCAGGCTCTAATCTGTCCGTAAATGCCTAGCAGAGAATTCCCCTCTTGGAGGGTAACTTCCTGTTTACACAAGTATGGTGGATCCAGACCCTGCACCTGTGGCCTCCGCTCCCCTGGAGTAGGGTAAGTATCGGGGAGGGAGGAGAGGAGAGGCATGGTGCAATGTAACTATGTGATTCAAATTCTTCATTGGGTAGGCTCCTATGGCAGTGGTGCAACTCAGAGAAGCCAGTTACAGCCGTAAGTCATGTTGGGGTCACAGCTGGCACCTGAGAATCAGGGAGCCATAACCAGCTGCCTCATGGCCACCTCCGACATCAAGTAGTGCTCAGGTGCTGGAGCGGGTTGAACTTTTAGTGTGTTCCGCACAACTGGAAGTCTGAGGGTGGACACAGAAATCATGGCCCAAGTCCACAAAGATATTTAGCCTCCTAGCTCCTATTGAAATCAACAGGAGTTAGATGCCTAAATACCTTTGAGGATCTGGTCTTATAAATCTAATCCTGCTTCTCTTCCTCATATAAGTAGTAGACCTCTATAGCAGTGTCGGAGAAAAACAGAGTTCTCACTATTTGTTTAGGTACAGCAAGTCAGATGCTTTATTAACTCTC